CCTCCCAAAGTGCTGGGATTACAGGCATGAGCCACAGTGCCCACAGCCCAGCCCTAATCTTTTTAAATGAGGAAACCCTGGTCTACTTTCCCAGGAATGCTATTTCTCTCTAATTCCAGGATTCTAGTCTAAACCATTTCAAATACCAAAAAATCTTAAGCAAACTTCATTCTAATAACCAAGTTAACATTTATTGAGTGCTTACTGTGCTGGACACTTGTAAACTTTGTTACACATATGAATTGAATTCTCATAAGTCCTGGGAGGCAGACAGTATCATCTTTACCCTCTTATAAGCAAGGATGCGGAGGCACAGAGCTGCTTGATAGGCGTAAAGATCATGCAGCAAGGTCAGATTGAAGCCAGACAGTGAGTCACCAAGGGGGGATGTGCTGAGCTGGCACACTGTGGCAAAAAGCGAGGTGTCCCATCACTTCTCCCCTGCCAGCATGCAGCAAGCATGAGGAGTATGTCCTATATTCGGGTTGTACCAGGACACTCTGCACCCCATATCTCATCGAATCCCCCCAACTCTCCAGCAGAGCCATTATGATCATCTCTAGTTTTGGGTTTTTTCTGAGACAGAGTTGCTCTGTTGCCCAGTGGTGTGATCATAGCTCATTCCAGCCTGGACCTCCCCAGCTCAGGTGATCCTCCCACCTCCACCTCCAGAGTAACTGGGACCACTGGCATGTGCCACCATGCTTGGCAAATTTTTTAATGTTTTTGTAGCGATGAGGTCTCACTCTGTTGCTCAGGCTGATCTCAAACTCCTGGGCTCAAATGATCCTTCCACCTCAGCCACCCAAAGTGCTGGGATAACAGGCATGAGCCACCGCGCCCGGCCCCATCTCAATTTCAGACAAAAACATTGAGGCTTAAGGAAGCAGAGCCACAGGCCCAAGTCACCAGCCCGGAAGTGGCAGAGCTGGCCAGGTTTTCTCTGGCAAAGGGCAGTGACCCTGCCACCAGAACACAGCTGTTTCCACATGACAGAAGCCAGTACAACTCTTAATTAGACACCTCTGGTCTCAATATAGCTGTCACTGGTCTCCTCTGTAGGACGCCTCTCTTGGCCCGAGCAGGTTTCCCCTCCTGAGTGACACGACCTCTGGTTCTTCCTGCTTCTCTGGAGGTCTTGGGTGGGCCCTCGGGTTCTGCCGGCTGGGCGTGGTTTCTTCCTCAGTGGCTTTGACCTCATCCTCCCCAGACAGAGCCAGGGTTGCTTCTGAGGATGCTTGTCCTCAGCACAGCTGCTGAGCAGAACTGCTTGGCAGGCCTGGGGAGGCCACGTGGAGGAGTGCGGGAAGGCTTGAGTCAGGAGCCAGAGCGCCCTCACTAGGCCCTCGGTCTCCCTTCTTCTGGCCAGCCACTCTTAAAGTCATTTTGTTGTTTGTTAGATATAAAAATAACATCTGCAGACAGTAAACGTTTTGAACAATCTGGAAATGCATAAAATAACAAGGGAATTTTCTCCCCTTGACCCCCACTCCAGATCCCACTCCTGAGAGGTGACTAAGCATTGGTAACACTTCCTGGTGTCTCCTTCCAGACCCTTCTAGGTATACATGTGCATGTAAGCATGTATGTGTGCACACATGTATATACGTACAGGACACAAAGGAATTGTATACACATGTATATGGTCTTTTGCAATATACCTTGCACTCAGCAATGAATGGTGGTCGCCCTTCCATGCCAGCACTTAAGTCATTTTTATGGCTGCTTACAATGCCATTATCTTGATTTCTCCCAATTATTCACTTGCTCCCTACAAGTCTCTCTATTCATGGATATAGATATATGATATAATGTATATTATATGTTAGATATATGATATATATTTTATATATAATATATAAATTATATATAATAAAAAACATTTTTTCTATATATACAATAAAACCAAATATCCATTCAGTGAGCCGGCACAATCCCAGCCTCAGCCTCAGCCTCCTAGGCTCAGGCGATCCTCCCACTTCAGCCTTCCAAGTAGCTGGAACTACAGACATGTGCCAACACACTTGGCTAATTTTTTAATTATTCTAGAGATGGAGTCTCACTATGTTGCCCAGGCTGGTCTCAAACTCCTGGACTCAAGCGATCCCCTTGCCTCGGCCTCCCAAAATGCTCAATTACAGGTGTGAGCTACCATGCCTGGCCCACATTTGGTCATTGTCTAAAAAGTTAAAAGATTAGGTAATGAGACGCCATCTACTTCATAGCAAGAGCTAGAACAGACCTGCACCTTCAGTGTTTCAACATGCCAGCACTTACAATAATAATAACTTTGATGATAATTAATAATAAGAGTAGTATATAGTGTGCTGTGCTTTATTTTATTTTACTTTTTTTGAGACAGAGTCTCACTCTGTCATCCAGGCTGGAGTGCAGTGGCATGATCTCAGCTCACTGCAACCTCTGCCTCCCAGGTTCAAGTGATTCTCCTGCCTCAGCCTCCCAGGTAGTTGGGATTACAGATGCCCACTACCATGCCTGGCTAATTTTTGTGTTTTTAGTAGAGATGGGGTTTCACCATGTTGGCCAGGCTGGTCTTGAGCTCTCGAACTCAAGTGATCCACCCGCCTTGGCTTCCCAAAGTGTTGGAATTACAGGTGTGAGCCACTGCACCCAGCCTATAGTGTGCTATTCAAAAACATGATCTCAATTATATCACAAAATACAACAATTAATAAAAGGTGCCCCAAATAAATATATTCAAACTCATGTATGAATTTTTAAAATGAATAGAAGAAAAAGGATGGGCTGTGGAGCTGAGCTTGGTAAGGAGAGAGATTAGATGGGGGTGACCGGGAATGAAATTGCCCTGGGTGCAGTGGGTTGAAGGTCCCAGTGATGAGAACTGAGGGAAAAGCTGGGAACCGAATGGAGAGTGGGGCCCTTGAAACTGAGATGATGGAGGGGCGGACAATTCTTGGTGAAGCTGAGATGATGGAGGGGCGGACAATTCTTGGTGAAGCTGAGATGATGGAGGGGCGGACAATTCTTGGTGAAGCTGAGATGATGGAGGGGCGGACAATTCTTGGTGAAGCTGAGATGATGGAGGGGCGGACAATTCTTGGTGAAGCTGAGATGATGGAGGGGCGGACAATTCTTGGTGAAGCTGAGATGATGGAGGGGCGGACAATTCTTGGTGAAGCTGAGATGATGGAGGGGCGGACAATTCTTGGTGAAGCTGAGATGATGGAGGGGCGGACAATTCTTGGTGAAGCTGAGATGATGGAGGGGGCGGACAATTCTTGGTGAAGCTGAGATGATGGAGGGGCGGACAATTCTTGGTGAAGCTGAGATGATGGAGGGGCGGACAATTCTTGGTGAAGCTGAGATGATGGAGGGGCGGACAATTCTTGGTGAAGCTGAGATGATGGAGGGGCGGACAATTCTTGGTGAAGCTGAGATGATGGAGGGGCGGACAATTCTTGGTGAAACTGAGATGATGGAGGGGCGGACAATTCTTGGTGAAGCTGGGCTGCGAGGTGTGACATATTTGTGTGTGGCCGGGAAGGTACAGAGGGGTGGAGAGAGGAGGTCACAGAACTGAGCAGCCAGGAAGTGGAAAGAGTCCCCTCGTCAGATACTGGAATCACCAAGTATTTGGATGAGGCTCATGTCACAATGACTGGGAGCCAGGAGCTCCTCCCAACCAGCCAATTGGCCCTGGCTACAGACAGCAATTGGCAGCACCCACCTTGGATTCTTTTTTCATCCTGGCCTCTACTCTGTCTGCCTGTAACTCTCCAAGAAGCTACAAGGGAGGCAGGACTGCTGTCTCCTTCCCTAGCAGAAAACCCAGCTCTCCCAGAGCAGGAGGCCCCTGAGACCATCGAGTGTCCCCCGCACGGGCCTCGAAGGTCACAGCGAACTCATCCCTGGAATCCCTGCTTGTTGGAGCTCTGAATACATGACAGGCTTTGGGCTCACTCTGGAACCTACCGAGGAAGTGGTTTCTCTCCATTTCCTGAAAATGGAGAGAAGTCATTAAACTCTGTACCTGTTAAATGCCCACCTGCTGAGGAGGATTGGTACTCACCAAGGTGTAACGTGCCTCCAGTAGCAAGCGAGGGTTTTCTGAGCTGGGAGCCTGAAATGAGGTGCTCAGGACAGACGGTGCCTGTGCCTTGTAAGTGCAATGTCAGGATAGAGACTTCTCCCCATTGCATGCAGGACACAGCAGAGGCTCAGAGAGTTTGGGTGGTTTGCTCAATGACTCACAGCAGGAAATGCAGAACAGAGATTCCCCCCCAGGCTGTGTAACTGGAGTCTGAGCTTTCTTGTGTGTGTATCTCATCCCTTCCTAAGCCTGGAGCTCCTTGAGGACAGGGACGTATTCAGATCTGGTGTCCCCTCGGCACTTAGTGTGTCCCCCTGCCCGGAATCAGCACTCAATAAATGATGATGGGGCTGGGCGCAGTGACACACTCCTGTAATCCCAGCACTTTGGGAGGCTCGGGTGGGAGGATCGCTTGAGCCTGGGAGGTGGAGGCTGCAGTGAGCTGTGATTGTGCTGTTGCATTCCAGCCTGGATGACAAAGCAAGACCCTGACTCAAAAAATAAATAAGTGATGATTGGTGACTCAGCTCTTCTTCCCCCTACCTCTCTTCCTGGGACCCTTCATCCCCACTTCAGACCCCCTAGTACCCTCCTGCAGCCTGGGCCCTTCCTACCACTGTGGAGATCAATTTCCTCTTGAAGGTGTTGTTGGCTGTTTTATCTAATTGACTAGGAGGAGAGCTGGAGCCAGGGGTTCAACCCAAGTGATGGCTCTTTCTCCTCCTGGGCCTTCTGGGAAGAAAGCAGACCATACACAGACAACTGGGAGGAGGGGTGATTCTGTGCCAGGAGCTCCTTTCGGGAGCCCCTTAACTCTCACCCAGGGCAAGCTGCCTGGCGTAAGGCAGGTGGTGTTCATCGTGGGGCTGGCAGAGGGCCGGTGCAATGTAGGGAACAGCTTAACCTTTTTCCTCCCCTGTTGCCCTAGATTATTCTGAACTTTACATCCCTGGACCTGTACCGCAGCCGCCTGTGCTGGTACGACTACGTGGAGGTCCGAGATGGCTTCTGGAGGAAGGCGCCCCTCCGAGGTAACAGCACCAGCCACCACCTGACTCCACACTGATTCCCTCTCTGAACCACTCTCTTCACGCTCTTCATCCTCCCACAGGGCCAGCATTGGCCAGGGACGATGTCCTGGTGTGGGAGCCAGGAGTCCTGGCACCATTAAGTCCCAGCTAGCTGCATCACTCACTTGCTGTGTGACTTTAGGCAAGTCCTGTCCTCGATCCAGATTTCAGAGTCCCCAGTGTAGGCTTCTGGACCTCCCTCTGAAGGTGGCTGTCACCCTGTGGTGCAAGGAGTCATCGGAATTGACAGAGAGAGAGAGAGAGAGAGAGACAGAGAGAGACAGAGACAGGCTGTTCTGTGCATCTCCACGGCCCCAGGGTCTCCTCCTCATCTGGGCACTTTCAGAGGCTGTACCATTTGTTTCTGTCTGCCCTTCTGGCTTTTGGGTGTCCACAGTGCAGCCTGGCTCAAAAGAGAGTCTTCATAAACCTGCCAGCCTGTTTCCTAACTCGCCGCTGGAGGCTGCATGCTGGGTGCTGTGGCCTGACCTTGTTCACATAGGATGATTTTTTCCTAGGAGGGTAGGGGGCAGGAGGTGAGTCAGTGGGGATAAGTCGGTCAGACCCACAGGACAGAAGGTGCTTTAATGAACCTGGAATTAGGGCAGAGGGAGGCAGGTGTTTCTAGAGGGTATTTGCAGCAAGCCCAAGGAGCTGTATGAGTCTCCTCCTTCAGGCTGGATTGATTGTAAGGCGCTCAGGACCACTCTGACAACAGAGCCTCTGCTCCTCAGCCTGTGCCTAAAACAGCCAGGCGGATCCTGCTAACCTCTCTTTTCCCCCTAGTTTCTGATATTTAAATATTCCTTTTCGGTCATTCAAAGCAGCTGTCCTTACAACACTTCCTCCCTCGGACGTGTTAGTGTTTTTCCAAGATGGGAGTTTCTTTTTCATAACTTACATTCCTGGCCAGCACCCTGTGTCCCTTGCTGAATATTGGGAAACTCTGGCCTTATTAGGAACATACAGCTCATTCCTAGCAATTCTTCACTACAAAGAATTCCACAGATGGCTGGCCTCATCCACTTAGGTTGACTCTTGTTCATTTTTATTTCAAAGTGGACATTGTCTGACCCAGTCCCCAGATTCTGGGATTTATTTAGGGTCCTGGGGCATCCCTTGCAATTGACCAAATAAAAACATGTCTGTGAAGGCAGTTTGTAATGTATAAAGAAAGCCATGTTGATTTCTCATGATTACTTCTTTGCATAGAAAGCAAATAAGAAAAGGTAAATAATGATGGTAGAATGGTCTCTAGAAAGGTAGATAAAACACATTGGTCGGGTGTGGCGGCTCACGCCTGTAATCCCAGCACTTTGAGAGACTGAGGCGGGTAGATCATGAGATCAGGAGTTCAAGACCAGCCTGGCCAAGATGGGGAAACCCTGCCTCTACTACAAATACAAAAAAAAAAAATTAGCTGGGCGTGGTGACAGACCTATAATCCCATCTACTCGGCAGGCTGAGGCAGAGAATTGCTCGAACCCAGGAGGCAGAGGTTATAGTGAGCTAAGATCGTACCACTGGGCACAGAGTGAGACTTTGTCTCAAAAAAGAAAGAAAAAAAAAAGGTAAATAGAACACATGTATAGTTGCACATTATAGAGATCTACCTTGGCCAGGCACAGTGGCTCACACCTGAAATCCCCGCACTCTGGGAGGCTGAAGTGGGTAGATCACCTGAAGTCAGGAGTTCGAGACCAGCCTGGCCAACATGGCAAAATCCTATCTCTACTAAAAATACAAAAATTAGCCAGGCATGATAGCAGATGCCTGTAGTTCCAGCTACTCAAGAGGCCGAGGCAGGAGAATCGCTTGAACCCAGGAGGCAGAGGTTGCAGTAAGCTGAGATCAGGGCCTATACTCTAGCCCATGCGACAGATCAAGACTCCATCTAAAATAAAAATAAAGATCTACCTTTCCTCCTGAAAATAGGCTCACGTCCTATCCCTCAAGTGGCCTCTGGTTCTCTAAAGCCAAGTTGGACCCTGGACCAGACAGGAGGCAACCGGAGAGTGTACAGTCTTGGGAATGTGTGAAGCAGGGGGGCCACAGATCAGGGCCTAGGCACCCAAGCCTCCTGGAGAGGTGTGGCCTCCACAGGGGGTGTCCTCAGGGTTTACCACGCCTCCACCCACCCTATCTGCACAGGCCGCTTCTGCGGGTCCAAACTCCCTGAGCCCATCGTGTCCACTGACAGCCGCCTCTGGGTTGAATTCCGCAGCAGCAGCAATTGGGTTGGAAAGGGCTTCTTTGCCGTCTATGAAGGTACTGAGGAAGGCGGCGGATGGGAGGAGTCAGATGGGAGGTCCCTGGGCATCCTAGAACAACTCCCTTCGGGCACCCTAGGGGCAAGATTGTGGGTCTCCAAGGGAGGAAGCAGAGAGAATGGTGGGATTGGCTGGGACTGGGGGGTTGGTGGGAGACCGAGAAGCTGGGACGGTATGGGAGGGACTGGAGGAGTGGGGGAAGGAGCTCCCCCACAGGGCAGAGCGTGCTGACCCACCACCCCTTCCCACCCTACCCTGTGTCCCCACAGCTATCTGCGGGGGTGACGTGAAAAAGGACTACGGCCACATTCAATCACCCAACTACCCAGACGATTACCGGCCCAGCAAAGTCTGCATCTGGCGGATCCAGGTGTCCGAGGGTTTCCACGTGGGCCTCACGTTCCAGTCCTTCGAGGTAGGTCAGAGACCCTGTGATCTGACTTTTGAATCCTGCAGTCGCTCCCTTGAACAGCTGCCTCTCTTTGGGCTCCTGAGGGTGGGTCCCTGGCAGCCAGAGCCCCTTCCACTGATGAAGTCTCAACCCCCAGATTGAGCGCCACGATAGCTGTGCCTACGACTACCTGGAGGTACGCGACGGGCACAGTGAGAGCAGCCCCCTCATCGGGCGCTACTGTGGCTACGAGAAGCCCGATGACGTCAAGAGCTCGTCCAGCCGCCTCTGGCTCAAGTTTGTCTCCGACGGATCCATCAACAAAGCTGGCTTCGCCGTCAACTTTTTCAAAGGTGCCTCCTACCCTACTCTCCCCTGTCCCAAGGCGCCCATCACCTTCACTCCTTCTCCATTCACTCATTCAACACGGAGATTCTAGGAGGCATATGGATGCCAGTGAGATGTCAGGGCCATGCCCCTAAGAAACTTGGGGCTAAATGGGGAGAAGAGGTCCCCCAGTATGGAGTAGAGGCAGGACCTGCCATAGGACTCAGGGAGGAAGCAAGGCAGTTGGAGGCTTTTTCACCTGTGTGGCCTTGGGCATGATATTCTCCCTGAACTTCAGTTTCTCATCTATAAAATGGGCACAGTAACAGGCTTCACATAAGGATTGAAGGAGAAATGAAAGAGGGGTCCTTAGTCAGGGACAGCACAGGAGGGGCGCTCGCCCAGTCCATGTGCTCAGAAGGGAGGCTCTGTGGGGTTCCAGCCGCTGAGGGGCTAGGTAGGTCCTGGGCTGAGTAGACAAGTGAGGCTCATAGCCAACTTCTTCCCTTGGATGGGGTGAGGGGTTGGTCACAAGAAGCATGAGGGACCCTGGACTTGACCCCTGAGCAGAGGTGGGAAGAGGGGCAGGCCCCTGCCTGGAGTCTGTGACACCCTCTCCTCCCCACCACAGAGGTGGACGAGTGCTCTCGGCCCAACCGCGGGGGCTGCGAGCAGCGCTGCCTCAACACCCTGGGCAGCTACAAGTGCAGCTGTGACCCCGGGTATGAGCTGGCCCCAGACAAGCGCCACTGTGAGGGTGAGTGCCCCAACACTGCCCTGAGCCTGCTCCCTCCCTGGCCCCAGCCCACCTGCCCAGGAAAAAAAAAATATATATATATATATATTTTTTTTTTCTTTTCTTTTCTTTTTTTTTCTTTAAGACAGGGTCTTGCTCTGTCACCCAGGCTGGAAATGCAGCGGGTCAGTCTTACCTCACCATAACCTCCAATTACTGGGCTCAAGCAATCCTCCCGCCTCAGTCTCCCAGGTAGCTGGGACTACAAGTGCACACCACCTTGCCTGGCTAATTAAACATTTTTTGTAGAGACGAGCTCTCACTTCATTGCCAAGGCTAGTCTCAAACTCCTGGCCTCGAGCGACCCTTCAGCCTCCCAAAGTGCTGGGATTACAGGCTTCAGTCACTGCCAAGATTTCTTACGCCCTTCCACAGACCCCTTCCTGGAAAAGCTAGACTGATACCCCAACCCTCTTTTCATAGCTCATGGATAAGAAATGCATGTCACAGGCCGGGTGCAGTGATTCATTCCTGTGATCCCAGCCCTGTGGGAGGCCAAGGTGGGCAGATCACAAGGTCAGGAGTTTGAGACCAGCCTGAGTAACATGGTGAAACCCTGTCTCTACTAAAAATACAAAAATGAGCTGGGTGTGGTGGGGCACAGCTATAATCTTAGCTACTCGGGAGGCTGAGGCAGGAGAATCCCTTGAACCTGGGAGGCAGAGGTTGTTGGGAGCCGAGATCGAGCCACTGCACTCTAGCCTGGGCGACAGAGTGAGACTCCTTCTCAAAAAAAAAAAAAGATATGTCACATTGCAACCCCGGGAACACACTGTCACCCTGTAGGATGTGTTCTGTCTTTGGTTTGTTTTTTTCATTCTTGGGGTGTTCTGAGTTTTGTTTCTTTTTGTAAATGACAATCTTGACCTGCTCACTGATTTCAACACCCACCAGGGTATTGTGATCTCCAGGTTGGAAACCCTTGTTGTGGGACAGGCACTGTTTCTGCCTCTCCACGCATGGTGCCGAGATGCTGGTGGCAGCACTCTGAGGCTGATGGCTCCAGCTCACTGGGCTGATCTTGCCCCTGAGTCGCTCCGTTTCCTGCACCTCCCTGGACTGCCCCGGTCCCTGAACTGCTTTCCCTGAGTCCCTTACTCCCCCTTGTTCCCTCTTGGCAGATTCTTGACCTGTTCATTCTCAGAGAAAATAGAAATGGCCACACTTATAACACCTTAACTTCCCCGCTCCTCCTACAGGCTCACCCCTGAAGACTCCCAGCCCACCCTCCCTCCCTCCCGTCTGCCCCAGAGGGACCAGACACAGGTCCCTGAGCCTCGGGGAGTCTACAGGCTCCCCATCTTCTTACTGCATCCCAGCCCGCATCTCAGCCCTTCCCTGCAGGGGCTCCCTGCAGATGGTGCCACCTCTCCTGTCCCTGCAGCTGCCTGTGGTGGATTCCTCACCAAGCTCAACGGCTCCATCACCAGCCCAGGCTGGCCCAAGGAGTACCCTCCCAACAAGAACTGCATCTGGCAGCTGGTGGCGCCCACCCAGTACCGCATCTCCCTGCAGTTTGACTTCTTCGAGACAGAGGGCAATGATGTAAGTGCCCACCAGACACTGAGGTGGGGCAGGAAGGTATGAGGTGTGGGCATTCAGCTCAGTGCCTGCTTCCTGCCCTCTGAGAGTGGACCGGCCAGAAACACGCTGCAAATGTCGAGGAGAGACTGCTGCCAGCTCAGGAAGCACAGGAGGCCCAGCAGGAAGGGTCCTGAAGGGGGTGAGGGGACATGTGGCAAGTGGGAGGAAGGACATTGTGTTAGGGAGGCGTGTAGAGCAAGGGAAGGCTTAGAACTGGCTTGGGGAGCCAGTGATGGGGAGCAGCGAAGACAGGGCTAAAGGATGTGCAGAGCAGGGAGCTTCCTGAGGGTGGGAGTAGTCAGGAGAGGCTTCCTGGAGGAGGTCGGCCTGGAGCTGGGCTTCCCTGCAGGTGTGCAAGTATGACTTTGTGGAGGTGCGCAGTGGACTCACGGCCGACTCCAAGCTGCATGGCAAGTTCTGTGGTTCTGAGAAGCCCGAGGTCATCACCTCCCAGTACAACAACATGCGTGTGGAGTTCAAGTCCGACAACACCGTGTCCAAAAAGGGCTTCAAGGCCCACTTCTTCTCAGGTACCCCTAGACTGCCCAGTTCCTGGCCCTGCCTCTCCTCGGAGAACAGGGCTTCCTTCTCCCTGCCCCTGCACCCCACACTCCCCAACCCTCCCTGGTGCCAGGCAGGCAGAGTCTGCCCTCTGTTCCTCATCACTTCACTCCCCATCAAGCCAGCCCTTGCAGTACCCACATCCCATTATCCCTGAGCCCTCAGGGCTGGGCTGTGATGGCTGGGGCCGGAGGATGGGCAGAACATGAACATTCAGAAACCAGCATTGGAAGTGAAGAAGAGGGAATTCCAGGTGTCAGGAGCTGTGCAAGCCAAGTCCTGGGAGAGGGCAGGTCCTAGGAACAGGGAGTTCAAGAATGTTGGTGGATGGAGGAGAGGCGAGTGTTTGCCTTGGACTGTGTGGGGCAGAGTCTCTGGCAGTAGTCAGACTTCTAATCAGACTCTGCACAAGTCAAATAGGTTCACACTGGGGCCTTCAGAAAGATGAGGTGTGGCCAGGCGTGGTGGCTCATGCCTGTAATCCCAGCACTTAGGATGGCCGAGGTGGGAGGATCACTTGAGCCCAGGAGTTCAAGACTAGCCTAGACAATATAGTGAACCCCGTCTCTACGAAAAGTTTTTAAATTAGCAGGGTGTGTGTAGTTGTGTGTGCCTGTAGTACCAGCTACTTAGGAGGCTGAGGTGGGAGGATTGCTTGAGCCCAGGAGTTTGAGGCTGCAGTGAATGATGATCTCATCCCTCACTCCAGACCTTATCTCTCAAATTTTTATTTTTTTAAAAAAAGAAGAAAGATGAGTCACCCACTTCCTTCAATTCCCAAGCCTTGGGGCTCCCCTGAGCCAGTGGGCAGGAACTCAGATCCAATTAGCAGATGTTGATTGACAGCTGCCCCACATAAGGCCTGGGCTCCAGTCCCTGGTACTCATCTGAGCCTCTGATGGCCCCATCTTCCAGTGGTCTCGATGGTGATCAGCAGCCCCTGGCCCAGCCCCTGAGCTGGGCCTCCAAGTCAGAAGACCTCCTCTTCTTTGTGAATCACTCAGTCCTTCACCCTGGGGTGAGGCTGCAAGGTAGTCCCAGAGGTAAACAGACCCAGGCTCATTCAGTGAAGGACAGGAGTACAGTGGAGCAGGGGAGAGAGGGAGGTCAGGGGCTGGCTGCAGCAGGCCCAGGATCCTCACTCTGCCAGCCTGCTGGGCAGGATGGGGTAGGCAGGAAGGCAGGACACCTACAGCCCAGTCCACGCTGCCTTCCTTCTCCCCTCCTTTGCCCAGCTTCCTGCATCCTCAAGCCCCCTCTGTGGCTGCCCCGCACCCCTGCCTGACCCCCAGATGCCATGCACCTGCCCCTGCACTGGCTCCCTGCTTGGCACTGCCAGCCACCCTGCTCCGCTTACAGTGCCCGTTGACCTCCTGCCCCCAGCCCCTGCTTGCTGAGACCCTCCCCATGCCAGGCCAATTTCTTTCTTCCCTGCGCCCACCTGGGACTCCTAAGAGGTGCTCACCAGAGGGTTGAGAGGATGTAGCACTGCTCAGGGGCAGGCTGTGCCCCGGGAAACCATTACCTGCTTACTCTCATCTCTTCCCACCTTTCTGTTGCTCCAGTCTTGGAGGGGCCCTGGGGACTGACACATCTTTCAGGCCTGGAGTTACTGCTCTGCTCTGCTGTTCCGCTTGACACTGTGCCCACCCCACCCTGAGCCCTGCACAGAGACATGCACACACACATGCGCACACACATTGCCCCATTGCACAAGAAACCTGCAGAGCACCCCCGCCAGGGGAATCGAGGCTCAGCCCAAGGCCTGGGGCATCTGACTCTGGCCCCCCAGGAAGGGGGCTATTTGGACTTTTGGGACACCCACCGAGGAGACCCTAAGCCAAGAAGAAGAAAGAGCCTGAAGACCTTCAGTCTGACCCTGCCACCTTCCCGGGCATTTGGGCACTGTAGGGTGAGTGCCATCTCCTTGCCTGGGCCCGTGCCCACCTCCTCCACCCTACCCCCCTGCAACCTGCCCCCCCAGCTCCCAGGTGAGGCTGCCTGCTCCTGCCCCAGGTACTGAAGCAGCCTTCCTCAGGACTTACTGTCCCCACTCATGCACCTACCCATTCACTCATGCATTTGGCAGGTGTAATTTTACCCCTGCTGTGTACCAGGCACTGGACTAGGTTTCTAGGCACAAATGTGAGGAAGGGGTGGAGTGAAGGCTTTGCTCAGTCCGTAGCTGGGCTCCCCAAGGTTTCTAGCATGGTCACTGGAGATGTCCTCTGTGAACCCCAGGATGGCTTATAGGGTACCCTTCACCCTACATTTTCTGCAGGGCTAATTCAAAGGTAGCTTATGGGGGCCCTCAATCAGGCTGCCTCTGATGTGTTAACTGAGCAAGAACCCTTGGAGTGGACTTGGGGACTCCACCTCTTGGCCTGGGTTCCTGTGGCCCCTAGGGGCCTGGCCTGTCTGATCCTGGGTTGGGGAAGCAGGGCCTTCTGGAAGCCGATGTTCCAGCCCTTGGGCGCCCCTCCTCGTGGGGATCAGGAACAGGCCCCCTTGCACAGCCCCCCACCTGGCCAGCTCAGTGCCAGCAGGCATCTTTCCACCTCATGGTTCATCTCTGGAATTCTGGGGTCCACTGGGATCCCACATCTTCCCTAGGTATACCCGCTTCTATGCTAGGCATGCCACCCCCAAGTGCCCACAGACAGACCTGAGTGTATGTGGCTGTGGCACACACACCTGTGACCACGTGCACTTCTGTGTGTCAGGGCGCAATCCACATCGCGTGTTCGTCGTGTGAGTGCATGTGTGGGTCTGTGACATGTGGCAGATGCTTGTCTGTGAGCCATCTGCCGATGAGCTACATCTCTGCCTTTATGCGTGACTTTGTATCCATGTCGTGTTCACGCACCTGTGTGTACACGTGTCCTGTCCCTGGGTGTGTCTGTGCCTGTCTGCACATTGATGTCTGTGCCTATGTCCTCACGCGTAGCTGGGAGTGCAGTGTGTTTTCTTTGTGTGCACCTGTATGCAGGCTGAGTGGGCGAGTGAGGACACGTGTGGTTGGCTGTCCGTCTGCATTTGCACGGTGTATTGGAGCTGTGTGTCTGTGCGCGTGTGGGTGGTGTGTACCATGTGCACATGTATGTGCCTGTGGGCCAGCGCCTTGCTGCCACATTTGGGTGACAGTACATCCATGCACTGGGTCTGCAGGTGTATTTGTGAGTGTGTGTGTGTCTAACACACTCTGTAGATGTCACCTTCTGAATGAGAGCCAGAGCAGAGCTCTCCCCAGCCCTTCCCAAGTACTACTCCCCTCTACCAACGACTCCCCAGTTCTCTCCTTCCCTGATGCAATGCATGCCTAGTGGGCCATGTGTGCCATCCCTCCAGGCCTTCTCCCTGCCACAGGCTCTGTCTCTGTCCCGTCGCTATGCCTCCTGCTCCTGCTAACCCAGCCCTCCGTGCCCTGGCTGCGCCTGGACATGGCCACCCTGCATGTGTGTCCGCCTGCCCTCCCATCCCACCCTGCCCCTAGGACCCACCTTGGAGGTCCTGGGTCTGGTTTTCACTGCTGTCCCTCCCTGGTCCCTGCCCTCCACCCCCACCCCTTGGTCCCTTTTCTCCTTCTCTCTCTCTCGTTTCAGAAAAGAGGCCAGCTCTGCAGCCCCCTCGGGGACGCCCCCACCAGCTCAAATTCCGAGTGCAGAAAAGAAACCGGACCCCCCAGTGAGGCCTGACAGGCCTCCCGGACCCCTTGTTACTCAGGAACCTCACCTTGGATGGAATGGGATGGGGGCTTCGGTGCCCACCCACCCCCCACCTCCACTCTGCCATTCCGGCCCACCTCCCTCTGGCCGGACAGAACTGGTGCTCTCTCCTCCCTGTGCCCGTCCCGAGGACTGGGGACCCTGCCCCATGCCCCACCCTCCACCCCCTCCCATTTTGATGGTGTCTGTGACATTTCCTGTTGTGAAGTAAAAGACGGACCCCTGCGTCCTGCTCCTTTCTCTTGCAGTCTGCTTGTCCATGTGTCTGTTTTTCCACTTGCCCATCTGTCCAGTAAGCAGGTAATGGTGACCCATGCTGGTTTGCTCGGACCCCCGTCCTCTTCTCCCCACAGCTGGGCCCCGCTCAGCTGGTCCCTCTGGATGCAGTGCCCCTTGGACCCCCTTGTCGCCTGGCCTCCCACTCCTTGCCACCTGGCCTGGCCGGCTCTGGCCGGCTATTGCTCTGTACTGGTGGGAGGAAGCCCAGCCAGGCCTCCGTTTCCCCTGGGGCATCCAGATCTCAGCCCTGCACAGACCCAGTGAATGCCCTTATTTGCTCCCCTGCAGATAAGGACGAGTGCTCCAAGGATAACGGTGGCTGCCAGCAGGACTGCGTCAACACCTTCGGCAGTTACGAGTGCCAGTGCCGCAGCGGCTTCGTCCTCCACGACAACAAGCACGACTGCAAAGAAGGTACGGGCTCCATGCCAGGGGCATCGGGGCTTGAAGGACCCGGTGCCAGGAGTGGAAGGCCAGAGGGCCATCTCCATCGGCCTCCTTTTAGGTTCTGGGGGCTGAGTGATCTCTGAGGCCCTCTCGTTCCACCACCCACCTGGTACATCGATCCCCTTCTGGCAATGTCGGAGCCACACGCTCACTTCTGTCACCAACTTCAGGAAAGGAAGAGCTCGTGGCTGCTCCGAGGCTTCATTTGCAGGCTCTCCTAGTGGTTCGCGCCTCTTAAAACCACATCCAAGTCTGTCCTTGTGACTTCCTACTGGCACAGAGGCAAGAAGGGATAGTGGGTAAGAGCACAGTCTCCAGGACCAGTGGCCTGGTCCAGCCCTGCCACTTCACTAGCTCTGTGCCCTTGAGTGACTTCTTACCTTCTCTGTGCCTTGGTTTGCTCCTGCATAAAATGTAGATAATAATAATAGCACCCAACTCAGAGGGGCATTGGGGGCTTGAGGCGCCCCAGGCAGTGCCAGGCTCACTGCAAGCACAATGGTATCTGTTACCATGATCAGCCACATTTGTAACCCCTGGGGATGCTCAGAACAGGGCCACTGCCTTCTTGACAGTAAATCCTTGCACACAGTTAAAGATAGCTCTAGGCCGGGCACGGTGGCTCATGCCTGTAATCCCAGCACTTGGGGAGGCTGAGGCAGGAGGATCGCTTGAGCTCAGGCATTCAAGACCAGCCTGGGCAGCATAGTGAGACCCTGTCTCTATTTTATTTTTAAACAGGGTTTTTAACTAAAAATAAAATAGGCTGGCATGGTGGTTCACACCTGTAATCCCAGCACTTTAGGAGGCCGAGGCAGGCAGATTGCTTCAGCCCAGGAGTTCAAGACTAACCTGGGCAACATGGCAAAACCCCATCTCTACAGTAAATGCAAAAAAATTAGCTGGGTGTGGTGGTGCACACTTATAGTCTCAGCTACCCTGGAGGCTGAGGTGGGAGAATCACCTGAGCCTGGGGAAGTCAAGGCTGCATGAGCTGAGGTCATACCACTGCACTCCAGCCTGGGTGACAGTGGGAAAAAATAAATATAAATAAAAATAAATAAAGTGAAATAAAACCAGCTCTCCTGGCATCACCAGTATCCCTAACACCTCCTGGGACATGATACCTCGCAGGCCTGCTCTGAGTCAGGGATTCCACTGTGGCCCTTGCCTGCTGGGCGCGTCTAATCCCACAGCACACACAGATGTGCCTCTACCGCTGAGCATCTGTGTGACTTTGGGCGAGTCCTTCAACCTCTCTGTTTCAGTGTCCTCATCCATGAAATGATAAAAAGTCATAGACCAGGTGCAATGGCTTATGCCTGTAATCCCAGCACTTTGTGGGGCTGAGGTGGGTGGATCCCTTGAGGTCAGGAGTTCGAGACCAGCCTGGCCAATATGGACTTCTTTAAAATCTATGGGGCTCTAGGAGGATAGGATTAAATTCCTTCCCTCAAGGAACTCAAAACCCAGTGGAGAAATGAATTACACACACATGCGTGCACGCGTGCACACACACACACACACACACATGAGAATTCCTGAAAACTGGGCAAATCTATAGGTTAAAGAGTCTGATATTTGTACCTGTGTGAGTCACTGCTTTTGATCCCTTATTTCGGATTTGCCACCATTAAATTCTTAAGTGTCTGCCAACACAGCAATGTGAGGCCACATAACCCCTGGGGATGCTCAGAACAGGGCCACTGCCTTCCTGACACTGAAACCCTGCACACATTTAAAAATAGCTCTATGCCGGGCACGGTGGCTCATGCCTGTAATCCCAGCACTTTGGGAGGCTGAGGCAGGAGGATCGTTTGAGCTCAGGTATGTCTCTACTGAAAATACAAAAAATTAGCTGGGTGTGGTGGCACGTGCCTGTAATCCCAGCTACTTTGGAGGCTGAGGCAGGAGAATTACTTGAACCCAGGAGGCGGAGGTTGCGGTGAGCTGAGACTGGGGCACTGTACTCTAGCCTGGGTGACAGAGCGAGACTCCATCTCAAATAAATAGATAAATAAAAATGATACCTACCTTGCAAGGTACTAAACTTTATAGACATGGCTCAGCCCTTAGCACCATGGCTGGCAGGTGACTCTTCCCATCCTGGTTAGTTGACAACCCAGGTATAAACAGATGAGCTGCTCACCAGAACCAAAGCACTCAACAGTGAACCAGTGGACAGTCAATGGCTTCCAACCCTGTGACCTCAAGCTTCCCAAATACACAGTTCCTGAGTCATGGAACTAGCTAGAGGGGACCTTTTCCTGATGTTGTCTAAACCGCAATCTGTCTCTGTACTCCCTGTGTAAAAAGATGGTTTGATAAAGAACAGAATCCACAAGATAGCCAGGATGGGGTGAAGCTCCTGGAGAAGATGGCCTGTTTACCTTTTATCTGCTCATTCACCTCAGAAGTACGTGTGGTTTCTTACTCAGGTGATAGGTTAATTATAGATCCGTAAGCATTTCCCGATTCCTATGGAGGACCCAGTGCTATGCAGAGATTTGTAGGGAATTCAAGACAGGCACCCCATGGAGATGCAGGCTCTCTGGGGAGAGACATGAGCATGCAAGGAACACAGGGAGCAGAAAGGCCAGAGTGCAGAGGGAGAGGCCGGGGGCTGTGTGAACCCACAGAGGGTAATGGCGACAGCTCATGGTGTAAGTGTGGGGAGACAGGAGCGTCACCTGCCTCCACCAGGGAGTGGAGAGGGCCATTTTCCAGGCCCTTGTGCTGTATCTTTCCCATCCTTTTCCCCACCAGCCATAGTGTCTGGCTGCCCATTTCCCCCAGTAAAACCTGTCCGATGACATGATTATGAACAACGACCATTGGCTTTTAAATTTGAGTCGGTGCCGGGTGTGGTGGCTCACGCCTGTAATCCTAGCACTTTGGGAGGCTGAGGGGGGCCAGATTGCCTGAGGTCAGGAGCTTGAGACCAGCCTGGGCAACATGGTAAAACCTGTCTCTACTAAAGATACAAAAAATTAGCCAGGCATGGTGGTGCATGCCTGTAGTTCCAGCTATTCGGGAGGCTGAGGCACAAGAGTTGCTTGAACCTGGGAGGTGGGGGTTGCAGTGAGCCGGGATCACGACACTGCACTCCAGCCTGGGTGACAGTTTGTTTGACCCTGTCTCAAAAAAACAATTGAGTTGGGGAAGCCATGTTTTTCAGAGGCAGAAGTCAGATCGCCGTGGATTGAAGAGACATGCATTGAGAATGTGGCCATGGCATGTGTTCCAGAAGGCGAGCTGGAAAGAAAAGGAGAGTGGATGGGCTGGGCCTGGGAGAGCTCTTTCAGGGTGTGTGAAGGTTCGGAGGCTGCAGAGCTAAGAGAGTGTGAGGCTGGATCGTTTCTGGTGTGAGGGTTCCCAGGCATGGGCAGCAATGAGCTGCAGCTCCCAGAAGGGCAGTCTGCCTTGACAGGGAGGAGGAGCACCTGCTCCAGGGCTGCCGAGCAGCGGCACAGATGGGTTTGCAGTTCAGAACCCAGAGGTTGAAGCCATTTATAGTGGAGGGCCCCGGCTTTCTCAGGAGGTAAGAGAGAGGTGGTCTGCCACTGGGAGCTGATAGAGTGACTTGAGGAAGGGGCTGAATGTTTGCAGCAGTTGCTAAGGAGGTGAGAGATGGAGCTGGTGAAGGCCAAATCCAAGGAGTATCCAGTGGTCTGGGGGGCCCAGGTGAGGCTGGAGCCACACATGGGGTTTTCTAAGATGGTGCCAGGCAGAGCCGGGATGCAGGGCCATGCAGAGTGCGGAGGAGCAGGCTGGGTGGTCAGCAAGGCAGTCAGTTAAGTCAATCAAGGAAGAAGTATTGGGAGAGAATGGAGAGATGAAGACCCTGGAGGTCTCTCTAAAATAAAGAGGCCAGCCAGGCGCAGTGGCTCATGCCTGTGACCCTAGCACTTTGAGAAGCTGAGGCAGGAGGATCGCTTGAAACCAGGAGTTTGAGATCAGCCTGGGCAACATAATGAGACCCCATCTCTACAAAAAGTAAAAATGAAAAAAATTAGCCAGGTGCTATGCCTGTAGTCCCAGCTACTTGGGAGGCTGAGGCAGGAGAATTGCTTGAATCCAGGAGGCAGAGGTTGAGCCTGGGAGCTTGAGGCTACGGTAAGCTATTACACTACTGCACTCCAGCCTGGGTAGCAAAGTGATACCCCGTTTTTGTTTTTTAATTTTAATAAAGTCAAATGACCATAGTTGGGAGGGTGAGGTCCTGAGCACCCCGAAGGAACAGGAGGTGGCCACGGAACGGAGAGGATGATGTGTTTGTGGCGTGGAGAAAGTGGATGATGACAAAGCCTCCAAGGAACTGAGAGGCCACCTTAGGTGGACCGTTGTGTGTCTGTTGACTTCACCTGGGAGGGTAGCAGGAGTGGGGGTGGGGAGAACTGAGTCAGGTGTCAAAGTCTCATGTGACTGTCCCGATTGCTGGAGATCAGCAGACAACAGCTTCGAGGAGGGGCACAGGTCGGCTGGAGGCAGTGGCTCATGCCTGTAATCCCAGCACTTAGGGAGGCCTAGGCAGGCAGATCACTTGAGGCCAGGAGTTTGAGACCAGCCTGGCCAACATGGCAAAACTCTTTCTCTACTAAAAATACAAAAATTAGCTGGACATGGTGGCTCACATCTGTAATCCAAGATATTTGGGAGGCTGAGGCAGGAGAATCACTTAAACCTGAGAGGCGGAAGTTTCAGTGAGCCGATATCATACTATTGCACTCCAGCCTGGGCAACAGAGTGAGACTCTGTCCCCGCCCCCCACCCCCAAAAAAATGGAGAAGCACAGGTGATATGACCCATGTGGCCCAACACCTACAACGGTCCGGGTCGCCCAGGAGAGGCTGCGATGGCTGCTTCCTGAGCGCTGCCACGTGAGGCCTCACTCAAGGCTTTTGTAGGAATTGGCAGCTAGGTTTTCCCCAGACACAGGTAGCCTCATGGAAAAGAAATGATGCCTGCCTGCCATCCAGTTCGTAAGTGGCACAAGACGTGAAAGAAAGGAGGGGGCAGGAGGGAAGGGCTATCGCAGCTTGGGGTCCCTCTCTATCACCTTCCGTCACTCGCTTTCCTGCAGCCGGCTGTGACCACAAGGTGACATCCACCAGTGGTACCATTACCAGCCCCAACTGGCCTGACAAGTATCCCAGCAAGAAGGAATGCACCTGGGCCATCTCCAGTACCCCCGGGCACCGGGTCAAGCTGGTAAGGGGCCCCCTCGCCACTCCTCATGCTGTGTGGCCACCCCCTGTCAGAGGCACTGCCCAGAGCCATACAGGCTACAGGCTGAGCCTGGAGGCCTGCCACCCCAGGAGACCCCAAGTGTGGCCTGGACAGAGGCCCCTTTCCCAGTATAAATTAGGGACATCCCTGCCTTTGCCCCATTCCTAGGCCCTCTTTTCCTGTCATCCCCAGCTGTGGCTGATCACATGGGTGTCCATGAGGCCTGGGTTTGGGGCCCCGGTCCTCGCCCCACCTGCCCTCCAGCCACATTTTAAATCTGTGCTCCTTCCTCATAATCCTAGACCTTCATGGAGATGGACATCGAGTCCCAGCCTGAGTGTGCCTACGACCACCTGGAGGTGTTTGACGGGCGAGACACCAAGGCCCCTGTCCTCGGCCGCTTCTGTGGGAGCAAAAAGCCCCAGCCTGTCCTGGCCACAGGCAGCCGCATGTTCCTGCGCTTCTACTCAGACAACTCGGTCCAGCGGAAGGGCTTCCAGGCTGCCCACGACACAGGTGCTGTCATTGGTTGTGGGAGTGTCCACTGAGCCTGGGGTAGGGTCGGGGTTACAAAGAGCATTTAAAGGCAGAAAGGGACTGAGCCCTGTGACCCAGGGCCTGGGATGTGGGGGAGGCAAACAGTGTCCTGAGGACCAGGCCTGGGGGGCAGAGAGAGGAGGGTGTGGTTAGTGGTTAGGATGGCAGTGATGGCGATGGGCGGGAGAGGTTAGGGAACTCAGGGACAGAGAGGAAAGCCCCTAGAGGCTCCCCTGAGAACACGCTGGCCAGTGCAGCAGTCCACCCACACACCAACCCCAGAACATCCTCGCATATTTATTTATTTATTTATTTATTTATTTTTTTTTGAGATGGAGTCTTGCTCTGTTGCCCAGGCTGGAACACAGTGGTGCGATCTTGGCTCACTGCAACCTCTGCCACCCAGGGTTCAAGCACTTCTTCTGCCTCAGCCTCCCAAGTAGCTGGGATTACAGGTGCCCAGCACCATGCATGACCCACTGAACCCAGCCCATTCTCATGATATTTTTTTGAGATAGAGTCTTGCCCTGTCACCCAGGCTAGAGTGCAGTGGCATGATCTTGGCTCACTGCAGCCTCCTCCTCCCAGGTTTAAGCAATTCTCCTGCCTCAGCCTCCCGAGTAGCTGGCGTTATAGGCATGTGTCACCATACCCGGCTAAATTTTGTATTTTTAGTAGAAATGCGGTTTCACCATGTTGACCATGCTGGTCTCAAACTCCTGACCTCAGGTGATCTGCCCGCCTCGGCCTCCCACAGTGCTGGGATTCCAGGTGTGAGCCACTGCGCCCAGCCCATTCTCCTGATACTTGCTGACATGGAGGATGGATGAGGAGAAAGGCTGGAGCCCAGGGGGACGCCTTGAGTGAGAGACCAAGGACACCACGAGGGAGCTTTGCAGTCTCCTCTTGGGTCCCGAGCCACCTGTCAGGGTGTCCCCAGAGCTGATGGTCCACAGCCTCCCATCTTCCCCTTCAACTCAGTCCCTGACCCAGCACCCCCTCCCCGGCCCTCTCCCCACCTCCTCTAGGGAGATCTGAGTGCCTGGTACACAGAGGCCAGAAGGCCTGGGAGGAGGATGGCTCCATACACTGTCCTCTGCCCCTCCCAGCACAAGGTCACAAACCGGAGGCCTGGAATGCCATCTGGCCCTTGGACCTGCTATGTTTGGCCCACGCTGTGTTTTTTTAAAAATGTGAGCCAACATTTAAAAGTTGGGAGTTTTCACATAAACCCAGATGTACAGCTTCTTTCTTGAAAATGGAAGCTGTGGTGACACTAGGCCCACCTTCTTCCATGACAGCCATCAGCTGAAGCAAATGAGCAATGTCTGCTTTAGAGTAAGTGTGTGCTGCCCCGAGCTGCCGCTCCACACTGCCTTCCTCTCAGGGAGCTTCACTGCCTGTCCCCCTCACCCTAGGGCCGAGGTCCCTCTATCCAGAGGTGGGGTAGCGGAGCACTTGCTCTGGGCCAGGCCCCTGCCCACCCATCACTGCCCATGCGACTCTGGTCCAGGCCTCCATCCTGCGGTGTGGGTTTGGTGAGGTGTGCTATGGGGCCTGGCACCCGAGGTGCTCAGGGCTGGTGGCCAATCTTGTCCCCTGCAGAGTGTGGGGGCCAGGTACAGGCAGAGGTGAAGACCAAGGAACTTTACTCCCACGCCCAGTTTGGCGACAACAACTACCCCGGGGGTGTGGACTGCGAGTGGGTCATTATGGCTGAGGAAGGCTATGGCGTGGAGCTGCTGTTCCAGACCTTTGAGGTGGAGGAGGAGACTGACTGTGGTTATGACTACATGGAGCTCTTCGACGGCTATGACAGCTCGGCCCCCAGACTGGGGCGCTTCTGCGGCTCAGGGGTGAGGCCCCGCCCCTCACCCTCCTGGTCCCATGCCCCACACTGTCCTCCAGCCTTCTCGTTCCAATTCCCGAGACCCAGCACCCACACAGGCCCCAGAGGATGAGTGAAGCATGTGTGTGGCCTTCTGTAGGAGCCCAGAGTCCCAGCCTGGTGGAGGCTGCTCAGACACACTGCCCCGCCCCCGACCTAGGAAACCCAGTCCTTTCTGGGCAGCCGAGAGGTTCCTACAGCTCTGACCCAGGCCTGCTCTCAGAACCGGTTGGCTAGGGCTTCCAGGGGAGCTGGCATCTGGGGAGAAGGATGGAACTTCCCCTGTCCCTCCTTTCCTTACCCTCCTCCAAGGCAGCTCACCAGGGCCTGGAATGGGGGGCAGAGGTTGGCACCAGAGCCGGAAACGGGGCCTGAGCTAAGGGGGCCTCCCCAGTCCTTTTGCCGGAGCCATAAACACCCTTGTTGCTTCCTTTGCCAGTTTCTCCTGGTGAGAGGCCAGCTTGTCCCAAAGCTCTTGCTGCTGCTGTCCCAGTGGCCCTGGCTGCTTCTTGGTCCATAAAATGGCACATTCAGAGGCAATGAGCAAAAGTCAGCTTGATAGGCTTTTCCCTAAGGATGTGGGCTAGCCTTATGGGGAGGATTTCTTTTCCTCCCTATAAGAGCTTGTGGCTTCTTTTTTCTTTTTGTCCTTTCTTGAGGACCTTAGAGACAGACTTCTTTCCCCCATCTCCCCCCCATCACACACACTTGCAAGCACTTTCAAACACACTGTCCCTCCTGTCACCTCCCCAGCCCCCTGCCTGTCTCATGGCTTTGTCCCAGGCAGCCTGGATGCCCCAGGAAGGGTTAAAGCTTTCGGAAGCTGCAGCAGCTGCTGAACCCAGCATTGGCTGAATCTCCCCCAGGCGCAGAGCTTCAGCGGGTGTGGCTGGCAGGGGCTGCGACAAGGTGGAGCCAGAAGCAGCTCGCCTGCCCTGGCGTCCCCTGGCTGCCAGGCTAGTGCTCCCTCCCCTCTTTGCTCTTTCTTCTGAATCACACACCAAATAGGATGTCCCCCAGGTATTTTCTTCCAGAGAGCTCCCCCAGGCTGAGTCCATGGGAGGGGACTTGGGGAAGGATGGGGGCTGCCTGGAAGAGATACTGGGAATGTCCTCAAGGTTCTCAGACATGATTTCCTCTGTGCCTGGAGGGCTAGTGTGTTGACGTCCAGTGCTCTGCGGGCTGGCCTCACTCAGTGGGCTTGCAGGAGCCACCCAAGAAGGGCTCTGGAGCAGACTTTGGCCAGGGGCCAGAAGAGAGGTGGGGGCAAGGGGTAGGGACAGCAAGAGTCCAGGTCTGGGGACACTATGCTTCTCCCCAAAACTTCCTCCACATTCCAGCAGAGAAGTGGCTGTGCTGTCTTCCCTAAGAGTCTGCTGGGACAGCAGGAAGTCATGCCATTCAAAGAATGCCCTCCCTTAGCAAAATTCTTTGACATCAGTCCCATCCTTTGTTTTTCCCCAGCACCCCTCCTGGGCATGGAGAGCAGAGAGCTTGTGCTCCTGTTTGTGGTTGAGGGAAGTGAAGCCCAGAGACGGGAGGTGGCTTGCCTGAGACTGCACAACTCAGTTTGAAGTTAGTAGCAGAGCTGGGTTCACAGGAACTTAGTTCTTTCCGGCTAAGTTCTCCCCACCTTCTCCCCACCCTAGGTTCCTTTTAAACTAGCAAGAAATTCCCTGTTGCAAGGGGTGGAGAGGAGAGAATCTGGTAGCTGCCCGAGAGCCTCCTACCCCTCAGAGCTGGGGACCCTGGGGAGGCAGCCCTAGCCCCTCTACCTCACCCCACCCCTTTCTCTGCCAGCCTCCCGAGGTGGTGTACTCGGCAGGAGATTCTGTTCTGGTGAAGTTCCACTCAGACGACACCATCACCAAAAAAGGTTTCCACCTGCGATACACCAGCACCAAGTTCCAGGACACACTCCACAGCAGGAAGTGACACCGCCTGAACAGGGGTGGGACCGGAGCCTGCTGCCCTTGGTCATCTAGACTGGACAGTGGGGGTAGGCGGAAGGCGACACACTGTCCCTCTCCCCCAGGCCCCAGGACCTGCAGGGACGATGACCCGGTGAGACTGTCCACAGGAGGTGGGGGAACTAGACTCCTGTGTAAGCCACTTCCCACAACCGCCCACCAGCAAGAGGCTGGGGCCAGGGACCTGACCTTCCATGGAGACATTTCAAAGTGACCATTCTTCTCTGCGGGCCCCTGCCTGGTGACAAGAGGGAATGTCAGCAGGACCCTGCTGCCATCCCCGTGTCTCTGCACGCTGTATTGTGTATCGCGGGGGCATTATCTTCATTGTAATGTTCATTTCCCACCCCCGCTCCAGCCTCCATTTGGTTTTCTTTTGAGCCCTCACTCCGACCCCCCAGTTTCCTGGGGCATAAGTGTCTGTGCGTGTCCCCCAGGAGCTGCCATGGGGAGCCAATGGGGAGGGGATGGAGAAACAAGACAGGGCTTCTCTGAGGCCGTGGCCGGTCAGCCACACCAGGGCACTACAGCCAATAAACCGAATGTGTTACAGCCAATATCCTGTGCCAGAAGCTGTCTGGG